CATATCCTGCAGGTCATCGCGCGAGCTTCCGCAGCCGTGGGCAGCGCAGTGCGGCCCACCACGCTGCGGGCCCGTCTGTTGCCAGAGCGGCCATGGCCGACCGAGCCGTCGGAGGCGAGCCAGTCGCCCCCCCCAGACACACGCATGCAGCGGAGCTCGGCTGCCGCGTCATTGCCACTGCGGACTGCGGGCCCCAGGATTCACCACCATCGGGCCCACCTGTCAGAGGAGGGAAAGGCACCCATACCGCTACCCTTCGCCCGTTTTCCCCTTTCGGCCTGCGGGAGGCCCTCGTCGCCACCTCTTGATTCGCCTCGAAGTCCTGGTCAGCACCCAAGGAGAGGTCCAGGGAGTAGCGGTATCGGTACCTTTTGGTTCCCCAATCTGGATTTTGAGAGAGACGTGCATCCGACTGATTGCTCTCAGAGGCAGCTCTTGTTTTCAGGACGCTCGCCTCACGGGCCGCTCTGTCAGGGCCGGCTGCTACGCACATTCATTGAACGCGGCGCCCCACTCAGTGGACTACGCATCGTTTCAACACCACTTTTCCACGGTACGACATTAAAATGACTAGCCAGTGCTCAAATCCGTGGTACATACCGCATGTTCAGCGCACAGCCTGGGTTGGTCAGAAAATCCATGACGGCCAACGCCACGCGACACATTTATGGCTCACGCAGGACTTCGAAAACGCAGTGCATGGAGGAGGGGGCGCAGGAGGCGGAAGCTTGATGGTCAAATCATGCCTCAGCACATTGCTCACTAGGTGCGCTTTTTGGCCCTAAGCATTCCTAGGTGATTGCCTCAATCCTGTTTCACACTGTTTAAAGGCGAACGAGCAGGGGTGCTGTGACGACATGGTGGACGGGGTCGAGGGGGAGAAGTTCTGTGTTTTGCTTGTGCTTCTACTTGTCGGGGCTGAGTGCTTCGCCCTCATTGTCGCCCCCCTCCCCTTCCCCGTCTCCTCACTTACTCTTTATCGACGACGCCTACGTCGAATCACCGCCGCCCCTTGCCTTTGGAATCGCCCATGTGGCCGAGCGTTGTGGCAAGAGCTCTGCGACGCTATCGGGCCATGTGTTTTCCCAGCCATTGTGGGAACCCTTCGGGGAATACTTGGGGGAGGATGGCGGGGAAGATCAGGAGGAGGCGGAGGAGGAGAAGGAGGGGGCATCTTGGGAGCCTATGGGGGCACTCATGGGGCCTCATTTGAGCTTCCTGGGAGCCTCCTGGAGGCGTCTTGGGGGCCTCCTTGGGCCTCTTGGGGTCCTTTGGGGGCTTCTCGGGGGCCTCTTTGGCAGTCTTGGTAGGTTTCTGGCCCGTCTGACGCCGTCTGAAGCCGTCTTGGGGGCCTTTCTGGGCCGACTTTGGGCCCTTCTGGAATGCTCCAGGGCCGTCTTGGAGGCCATCTTGGGCGCCTTGGAGGCCCCTTGGGCCGTCTTTGGGCCCTCTTGGGGCCGTCTTGGGGGCCTTTTGGGCCGTTCTGGGGCCTTCCTGGAGACCTGGTGGGCGATCTTGGGGCGATCTTGGGGGGCTCGTGGGCCGTCTCGGGCCGTCGGTAGCCGAAAAGAAGCAAATACCAAAATTCGTGAACAACCTACGGAAACTCAACGATGCTGGCCTGTTCGGGCCTTCGTGGAGGCCTTCTTGGCGGCCTCTTGGGCAGTCTTGGGCCATCTTAGAGCCATCTTCGGCCGTTTTGTTGGGCTCCTGGCCTGTCTGACGCCGTCAGAAGCCGTCTTGGGGGCCTCTCTGGGCCGACTTGGGGCCCTCTTGGGGTGTTCCAGGGCCGTCTTGGAGGCTTCCTTCAGCGTGTCAGAGGCCACTTGGGCCGTCTTTGGGCCCTCTGGGAGCCGTCTTGGGGGCCTCCTGGGCAGTCGTGAGGCCATTTTGGAGGCCTCTTGGGCGCTCTGGGGTCGATCTTGGGGGCCTCTGGAGCCGTCTTGGGCCGTCGGAAGGCTGAAAAAAAGCAAACACGAACATCCTTGAAAAACATCAGAAAATCAATGATTTTAGCCTCTTCGGGCCCTCCTGGAGGACCTTGGGGGCCTCTTAGGCACCTCTTGGGCAGTCTTGGACCGTACTTGGAAGTATCTTGGACCCTCTTGGGCCGTCTTGGAGGCCATCTTGGACCATCTCAGGCGGACTTGGAGGCCATCTTGGGCTATCTTGGCCGTCTTGGAGACATTTTGGAGTCCGTTTGGGGCCATCTTGGGCGTGAAAGGCATTGACTGGCGTATTTTCCGGGTGGCTGGCGGGACGGGCCGAAGCTCCAGGGGAGAGTTCTTTTGGCAAGAGAACCAATACCAAAACCGAAAGGGTCCAGCACGCCGGGCACCCCTGTGGCAAGTTAACAGGGGGGGCGGCGGATTTCCTCCGAAACGGGATTTATCGAAGACGCCTATGGCGAATCACCGCCGCCCCCTGCTTTTGTGGAAGCGCCTATGTGTCCGACAGCTGGGCTAGAGCTTGGCCAAGCCATCGGACCATATGTTCCCCGAGTCGGTTTGGAAAGGTTTCGGGGAACACGGGGGGGAAGAAGGAGAGGAGGAGGAGAAGGAGGAAAAAGGAGAAGGGGGTTGCTCTTCGGAGCCTATTGAGGCACTCTTGTGCTCGAATTGACCATCTTGGGACCGTCTTGGAGGCCATGCTGGGGCCATCTTGGGCTCTCTTGGGGCCTGTTGAGGGCCTCTTGGGGCCCTTTTGGGGCTTCTCGGGGGCTTCTTTGGACGTTTTATGGCGTTCCTGGCCCGTCTGACCCCGTCGGGAGCTGTCTTACAGGCCTCTCTGGGCCGATTTAGCCATCTTGGGGCGCTTCGGGTTCGTCTTGGAGGCCATCTTGGGCGTATTGGAGGCCTCTTGGGCCGTCTTGGGGCCCTCTTGGGGCCGTCTTGGGGGCCTCTTGGGCTGTCATGGGGCCATCTTGGAGGCCTCGTGAGCGATGTTGGGGCGATCTTGGGGGCCTCTTGGGCCGTCTTGAGGTCTTCGGAAGGCCGAAAAGAAGCACATGCTAAAATCCTCTTCGGGCTCTCCTTGAGGACCTCTTGGAGGCGTCTTGGGGGGCTCTTGGGGGCCTCTTGGGCCGTCTTGAACCATCTTGAGCCTATCTTAGGCCGTCTTGGAGGCACCTTGGGCCATCTTGGAGGCATCTTGGGGCCATCAGAGCCGTCTTGGAGGCCATGTTGACCGTCTTGGAGGCGTCTTGGAGGCCATCTTGGGCCGTCTTGGAGCCGTCTGGATCAGGAAACACCTTTGGCAACCACCTTTGGGCAATCTGGAAGATCTTTCTTGGTGGCCGGCGGGACGGGTCGAAGCCCCAGGGGGGAGTTCTTTTAGAAAAAGAACCAATACCAAAACCGACAGGGTCTAGCACGCCAGGCACCCCTGCGATGAATCGACGGGGGGCGGCGGATCGAATGACCCACGCCCCATCCCGCCACCGTGCCTGTGTTGAGGTATGGAGCCTATTGGATGTTCGTTAGGATCTCGTGGAAGGCCTCTCGGGGGCCTCTTGGAGGCAGTTTGGAGGCCTCCTGTGGGGCTATTTAGGAGCCTCTTGGGGCCTCTTTGGGGGCCTCCTGGGGCCTCCTGGGCGCCTCTTGGGGCCTCCTGGAGGCCTCTTGGGGCCTCCTGGGGGCCTCTTGGGGCGGAAGGCTCGGATTTTCGATTCGTGTTCCATCTCTTGGGGTCTTTTGGCCAGCCTTGAGCACCTCTTGGGCCGTCTTGGGCCCCTCTTGGGCCGTCTTGGGGCGCTCTTAGGCCGTCTTGGGGCCCTCTCAGAGGCTTCTTTGGCCGTTTTGGGGTGGTCTCGGGGGCTTCTTGGGCCGTCATGGAGCGTCGGAAAGCTGAGAAGGCGAGAACTCCAAAGTCTGTCAAACACCGATGATGTACCATTAGCGATTTCTGTCTCTTGGGGCTCTCTCGGGTGGGCTCTCAGAGGCCTCTTCGGGCGTCTTGCGGGCCTCTTGGGCCTGTTGGGTCCATCTTGGGCATATTGGAACGATTATTGGGCGTCTCGGGGCCCTCTTGGGCCGTCTTGGCGGTCTCTTGGAGCCGTCTTGTCCTGTCTTGGGGTCCTTTTGGACCCAGAAAAAAACAGTCATGCGGAAAGCCCGAAGAGATTTCGAACATTGGGGTCCGGGCCCCTAAGAGACCTCTCAGGTCTGAAGACTGACGCGCAGAGGATGAGGCAAAGGACCTGAGGACACGCCCACTCCGTGCCCAGCGGCACTGTGACTGATCTACAACTACCGCCTGGGGCTCGATCTTTGGGGACCTTGGCAGGCGGTGGGTATTTATTTTTTAGGCCCTAAGCAGGGGGCCAGGCATGTCAATATCCACCGCCTGCCGAGGTCCCCGAAGATCAATCACCCAGGCGGTGTGGTGATATGGATGAAACCACTCGTTGCCTGGCTTTCGGATCACAGCTCGGGTCTCCAGCTGCCGTTCGGGACGAGGCGGGCCCCCCCGGACGCCTTTCGGCCAGGCGCAGCTGCTGGAAAGCATCCCGAGGCTGGAGCACCGCCGCGAACCAACGCACACTCCGAAACTCTCGAACCTCGAACCTAGGATTCATCTCGCGCTTCCTCTTCCCTCGTCCTTTCTATGGCCCCCCCTATAAAAATCAGCAACCCCCCGCCCTCCCTGCCCCGAGCTCCGAGCAGGGGGGCTTGCCAAAGCTCGCGCTCGCTACCCTCCAGTCTCGAGGACTCGCAAAAATGGGTTCCGTGGATGGAGCGTGGACTCGCGAGGACCAGCAAGGTGCGTGGATTAGCGGCGAGTCCCGTTCCTGTGCAACATCGGCGCGGTCCATTACCAAATCACGTGGCATTGGCACCACGTTTCCAGGGTTGCTTGCGCCCACGCGTCAGTATGCGTAACCCATGTTAGCGTGCGCTCGACAGACATATCACATTATTCTTCCAATCAACTGCTGGTCCAGTGTGAGTTGGCCGCAGCGCCCACCCCCAAAGTGGGATCAACCCCTCCCCTCTGGGAAGGAGCATGTGCCTCAACCTGCTCTTCAACGCGACTGGGGACCAGACTCCAGAGGAGTCCGCCGTGAAGGAGGAGGGGGAGGAGTGAGAGGAGGAGGAGGAGGAGGAGGAGGAGGAGGAGGAGGAGGAGGAGGAGAGGAGGAGGAGGAGGGGAGGAGGAGGAGGAGGAGGAGGAGGAGGAGGAGGAGGAGGAGGAGGAGGGAGGAGGAGTGAGGAGGAGGGGGGAGGAGGAGGAGGAGGAGGAGGAGGAGGAGGAGGAGGAGGAGGAGGGAGGGAGGAGGAGGAGGAGGAGGAGGAGGAGGAGGAGGAGGAGGGGAGCAGGAGGAGGAGGAGGAGGAGGAGGAGGAGGAGGAGGAGGAGGAGGAGGAGGAGGAGGAGGAGGAGGAGGAGGAGGAGGAGGAGGAGGAGGAGGAGGAGGAGGAGGGAGGAGGAGGAGGAGGAGGAGGAGGAGGAGGAGGAGGAGGAGGAAGGAGGAGGAGGGGAGGAGGAGGAGGAGGAGGAGGAGGAGGAGGAGGAGTGAGGAGGAGGAGGAGGAGTGAGGAGAGGAGGGGAGGAGGAGGAGGAGGAGGAGGAGGAAGGAGGAGGAGGAGGAGGCGGAGGACGAGGAGGAGGGGAGGAGGGAGGAGGAGGAGGAGGAGGAGGAGGAGGAGGAGGAGGAGGAGGAGGAGGAGGAGGAGGAGGAGGAGGAGGAGAGGAGGAGGAGGAGGAGGAAGGAGGAGGAGGGAGGAGGAGGAGGAGGAGGGGAAGAGGAGGAGGATGGTGGAGGGACTGAAGGGGAGGTTGGTTGAAGGATGGAGGAAATAGCGTGGGAGGGAAAGGAGGAAGATATGGTGGAGGCGGAGGCTGAGGAAGAGGAGGAGGAGGAGGAGGAGGAGGCAGGAGGAGGAGGAGGAGGAGGAGGAGGAGGAGGAGGACGAGGAGGAGGAGGAGGAGGAGGAGGAATGGGCGGAGGAGGACGAGGCGAGGGAGCTTGTCAGGTTTTCCAGCCCTTTTGGGCAACCTGCATGGCCGATATTCCCGCCCTCGATGCCTTTCTGGCGTGTTGGAGCCCTCCTGGAGCCATCTCAGAAAGCATGATTGGCAGCTTGGCTGCCACGGAGGGTGGATTTGGAGGCTCCGAGGGCTCTGAACCCCCTTGGCCCCTTCGGCCCCCACCCCTCTTATCAGGTTTTTAGACCCCAGGGGAGGGGGAACGGGAGAGTGGGACAGCAAACAGTCTTACACGCCTCTTCATCGCTGGTATTGGTGGATTTAGTCTGGCAGTCAAGGTATTTGGGGTGTGTGGGTGCGCGCGCGCGCGCGCGCGCGCGGTGTGCTGTTTTATGTGTGTGTGTGTGTGTGTGTGTGTGTGTATGTGTGTGTGTGTGTATGTATGTGTGTGGGTGTGCGTGCGTGTGATGTGTGTGTGGTGTGGGGTGTGCGCTGCGTGGTGTGTGTGGTGTGTGTGTGTTGTGTGTGTGTTGTGTGTGTGTGTTGTGTGCGTGCGTGCGTTTGCGTGGTGCGTTGCGTGCGTGTGTGTGTGATGTGTGGTGTCTGTGGTGTGCGTGTGTGTGTTGTGTGTGTGTGTGTGTGTGTGTGTGTGTGCGTGCGTGCGTGCGTTGAGTGCGGGCGTGTGTGTGTGTGTGTGTGTCTGTGTGTGTTTGTGTGTGTGTGTGTGCGTTGTGTGGGTGGTGTGTGTGTGTGTTGTGTGTGTGTGTGTGTGTGTGTGTGCGTGCGTGCGTGCGTGCGTGCGTGCGTGCGTGCGTGTGTGTGTGTGTGTGTGGGTGTGTGTGTGTGTTTGTGTGTGCGTATGTTTTTGGCTGGGCGGTTTCCGCTGCAAGCATCATGTTCCATGATCTTGATTGTCATGACCATGTGTTTCCCAAACAGTGCTTGCACTCTGGGGTTCTCTTGCTTCTCTTGCTCAATGTCCGCCCCTGGTCGCCTCGTGGGCGCCTCGTGTTCGGTGGGTCAGCCGAGGTTTCGCCCGGTGCCCGCCCGTGCGAGCCTCGTTCACTGGGCGGGTCGGCACAGGCTTCGCCTGGTGCCCGCTCGTCGGCGCCTCGTGGGCGCGTCGAGCGCTGGCTGGGGTTTCGCCCGGTGCCCGCCCTTGGGCGCCTCGCGGGCGCCTTGTGCGCTCGGTGGCTGTGTCGAAGTTTCGCCTGGTGGCCGCCCGTGTGCGCCTCGTGTGTGCCTCGTGGGCGCCCCGTGCGCTGAGCGGCCGCGAAGATTGCACGACATTGCCACACAGGTTACACCACATAGCTTGAACCAGATAGCTGACTCCACGTATATTGCACCATACATATACGTACAAACATATGTATGTATGTGCATATCGGAGGTTGGGGGGTGAGATCGCAGTTGAACGGAGACCCCCAAGCGGAAAATCGTTTCGTTTCGTTCGTGTCGTCCGTGCGGGCGAGGCGAAGCTGCGTGGGCGCGCGAGAGGAATGAACCCGCCGTTGCTAGGGCGAAGTCAAGACACATGATTCTCCCCCGCCAGCTCGCCCGTCCAGCGGTGGCTCGCGGTGTCCAGCCATGTCCCGTGGTGCCCCGTGGTGTTCCGTGGAGTGCGCCGTTGCTAGTGCGAAGTCAAGACAAATTATTCTCCCCCGCCCGCCCGTCCGTCCGTCCGTCCGGCGGTGGCTCGCAGTGCCCCGCGGTGTCCCGTGGTGTCCAGTTGAGTGAGATCGATCGTGAGATCGATAGTGAGATCGATAGTGAGATCGATGTGGTGCCCCGAGGTGTCCCATGGTGTCCCGTGGTGTCCCGCTGAGTGAGATCGACAGTGAGATCGATAGTGAGATCGATACTGAGATCGATGTGGTGCCCCGAGGTGTCCCGTGGTGTCCCAAAAAGTGAGATAGATAGTGAGATCGATAGTGAGATCGGGAGGTGTCCCGTGGTGTCCCGTGGTGTCCAGTTGAGTGAGACCGATCATGAGATCGATCGTGAGATCTATAGTGAGATCGATAGTGAGATCGATGTGGTGCCCCGAGGTGTCCCGTGGTGTCCCAAAAAGTGAGATCGATAGTAAGATCGATAGTGAGATCGGGAGATGTCCCGTGGTGTCCTGTAATGTCCCGTGGTGTCCCGTGGTGTCCCGTTGAGCGAGATCGATAGTGAGATCGATAGTGAGATCGATACTGAGATCGATGTGCTGTCCCGAGGTGTCCCGTGGTGTCCTATGGTGTCCCGTTGAGTGAGATCGAAAGTGGGATCGATAGTGAGATCGATAGTGAGATCGATAGTGAGATCGATACTGAGATCGATGTGGTGCCCCGAGGTGCCCCGTGGTGTCCCAAAAAGTGAGATCGATAGTGAGTTCGATAGTGAGATCGACAGGTGTCCCGTGGTGTCCCGTGGTGTCCCGTGGTGTCCCATTGAGTGAGGTCGATAGTGAGATCGATTGTGAGATCGATAGTGAGATCGATGTGCTGTCCCGAGGTGCCCCGTGGTGTCCCGTGGTGTCCTATGGTGTCCCGTTGAGTGAGATCGATAGTGAGATCGATAGTGAGATCGATAGTGAGATCGAGAGGTGCCCCGAGTTGTCCCGTGGTGTCCCAAAAAGTGAGTTCGATAGTGAGATCGGAGAGAGCGTGATCCACTGCCTCTTTACTGCGGAAAATTGCCGCCCTTTCCCTCCGGAACCCGGGGGTCCCCCCCCCCCTTACCGAACCCCCCCCCTTCCCCTGCTGGGACCCACCTTCCCCCCACCCCCCCCCCCCCCCCCCCACCCCCCCCCTTCCCCCCCCCCCCTTCCCCCCCCCCCCCCCTCACCCCACCTCCCCCCCTCCCCACCCCCCCCCCCCCTCCCCCCCCCCACCCCACCCCGCCTCCCCTCCCCCCCCCCCCCTCCCACCCTTCCCCGCCCCCCCCCCCCACACCACCCCCCTTCCCCCCGGGCGCAAACCCCCCCCCCTCCTCTACCCCTCCACCCCCTCCCACCCCTCCCCCCTTCGAATCGAAAACGAGGGGGTCTCTACCGGTTCGAACCCCCCCCCCCCTCGAAAACCGGAGGGGGGGGTCAATAAGGTTCGAACCACTGACGCTGTCCCACTGTGTCCACCACTGTCCCCCACTGTCCCCACCACTGTCCCACTGTACCTCTGTCCCATTGTCCCACCGCGTTCTCGCCACCGCCTTCACCACTGTCCCTCCACCACTGTACCCTCCACTGTCCCACTGTTTCCACCACATTCCCACTGTCCCCACACGCTGTCCCCACCACCACCGTCCCCACCACTGTCCCACTGTCCCCACTGTTCCCACCATTGTCCTCACCATTGTCCCCACCACTACCGTCCCCACCACTGTGTCCCCACCACTGTCCCGCTGTCCCCTCACCACTGTTCCCACCACCACAGTCCCCACCATTGTCCGCACCCCCCCTCGGTTTTCGAGGGGGGGGGGTTCGAACCCGTAGTGACCCCGCTCGGTTTTCGAGTTCGAGGGGGGGGGGGTTCGAACCGGTAGTGACCCCCCCCCCTTTTCATGATGAACTTGGGGGGGGGGGAGGGTTTCGAACCGGTAGTGACCCCCCCCGGTTTTCCGGACGGGAGGGGCTACTGCGCGAGGCCCCCGGGAAGTGAACCGGGCAGCAGCCCGAGCGCGGCGGGCGCGGCACCTGGTCCGCGAAGGAGCTTATTCCAAGGCCGTGAGCTCCCTTCACACCGAGGTGGCCGCATTCGAGCCCGAGGAGCAGGCTTCCTGGGGCCGCGAGCTCCTCCCCTCCAGCTCCGAGCCTGCCGCGGCCCTCAGCGCGCCGGACGGCGGTGCCCTGCGGCCAGCTCCCGAGGAAGCTGGCGGCCGCCCGCCCGGGCAAGGGGCGCTCGCCGGCGTGCGCTTCAAGGCGTGTTCCGGGCCGGGGCCCTCCGGCGCCCGCCCCGAGCACCTCCGGGAGTTGTCCGCCTGCCGCGACCGCCGGGCTGCCTCCCGGCTGCTGCGAGCCATCGCCGTCTTCTCGGAGGAAGCGACCGGCGGCCGTCTTTGCGCTGAGGCACGCTGGACATTGGAGAGCCGTTTGGTGTTCCTTCGCAAGAAGAGGGGCGCCGCCCCACGCCCAATCAGGGT